TTGTTAAAACAGTATCTTAATATAGCGATTTCTTGAGAAAAGTTGAATTTTTAGCTATATCATCGTAATTGCGCCCCCTAGCGGTCATCCTAGAAACTTGAAAATAATTTCCATCAATTTCTCTTGGCCGATTTAGTGAAGAAAAAAAAAATCCCGAAGCCGTAAGGTCTATGGTTTCCATAATATCGTACCTGGCCGACCTTAGTGGGACACCTGGTATAAATATTAAATATCCCTGTAAAAATACCAAATGGCGACATTAGTATTTACAAAACCTCGCTGTCCAACTGTATTTTAAAAAAATCCTTAACAACTGCGAGCGACGGCTATGCCCCAGTAGAAATTCATAACAATACTGATAGCGTCCGGGAAATATCTTTGTATATTCCAATTCTCGTACAAGCGTTCAATAAAGTCGATGTTGAAATCTATAATATTTCTATAGAAAACACTCCTAATGAATTCCCTAATAGAATCGATATTGTCGATACCATTCGAACCCAACACATGAACGAGGAAGAGGATTTTCACATAGAAAAATTATGCTAAAAATATTTGGACATATTCCATCTCGAAAATCAATCTTTGACTTCCACTAATCAAGTGAAACATATAGGATAAAAACTACTGACGAACTTCCGGTTTATAGCAAATCGTATCGATATCCGTTTATACACAAACCCGAAGTAGAAAAACAGATCGGTGACATGCTGCAACAAAATATCATTAGACACAGCGATTCTCCGTGGTTCTCACCAATCTGGATCGTACCCAAAAAAAAAACAAGACGCCTCGGGTAAGAAGAAATGGCGTATCGTGGTGGATTACCGGAACGTTAACGCCAAAACCATCGACGACCGTTATCCGACATCTAACATAACGGACATACTCGACAAATTAGGCCGTTGTCAATACTTTTCTACCCTAGACCTCGCGAGCGGATTTCATCAGATAGAGATGCATCCCGACGACATAAAAAAGATCGCATTTAATGTCGAGAATAGGCACTACGAATATATAAGAATGCCCTTCGGTCTCAAAAACGCCCCCGCCACGTTCCAAAGGGTTATAGACGGTGTCCTTAAGGGCCTACAAACCGAATATGCTTCGTATACATGGACGTCGTTATTGTCTACTCGACCTCCTTACAAGCACACATGACAAACCTAAAATCAGTCTTTCAACGACTACGCGAAAGTCACCTAAAAATCCAACCCGATTAATCGGAATTCCTAAGAAGGGAAGTAACTTTCCTAGGCTATATCGTGACAACAGAAGGCATAAAACCAAATCCTGACAAAATCAAAGGCGATATTAAAATACCCGATCCCAAAAACAACAAAAGAAATCAAGGGATTTCTCGGACTTCTCGGCTATTATCGTAAATTCAATCCGAATTTTGCCAAAATAACAAAACCGTTTACTAATTGTCTCAAAAAGCACGCGACCATTAATTTAAATGATCCCACCTACGTAAAAACATTCGAAGACTGTAAAGTATTATTAACTAACGAGCCGCTGTTGCAATATCCCGACTTCTCGAAAGCATTGAACTTAACCACAGGTGCAAGCAACTTTGCTATTATAGGTTGTGTACTATCACAAGGTCCGATCGGACAATATAAACCAATAGCTTACGCATCTAGAACATTAAATTCTGCCGAGCAAAATTATTCAGTAATTGAAAAAGAGCTCTTGAGTATTGTTTGGGGAACGCGGTATTTTAGACCATATTTATTTGGGAAATTTTTTTAAATCGTCACTGACCATCGCCCACTCCAATGGCTAATGAACTTAAAAGAACAAAATCCAGGTTCACGCTTAGTTTGATGGCGTCTGAAACTCGAGGAATTCGAGTATCAGATAATTTATAAAAAAGGGAAAAAAACAAACAAATATCTTTAACCTCTAACCTAATTACAAGTATCAATCAAACAATGACTGTAGTTTCGAAGAATCAAAAAGCAATCGAAAATAAAATTAATGACATTGCTAGTGATTTACAACAAACAAAATCCAATTACGTGCATTACCTAGAAATTCACGAAATAATGGACCAAATTAAGTTAAATTTGGACTCTGTGCTAAATTTTCTAAACGATATAGAAAATGCCATAAGCTTTGCTAGTTTAAAAACCTTACATCATAGCATTATTCCACAAAAAAAAATTAAAAGAAATCGTCAAAGAATTTCATAATTCTCACCACCACTCACAATTGTTATTTTCACAAAACGAATACATGAATTATTACGAAGTCATAGAAACTAATGTTTTTGCGATAGAAAATAAAATCGTGTTTTCACTGGATTTCCCTCTTGTGCATTCAAATACTTTCGATTATTACCACTTCTTCTCCGTACCTAATAAGAATCAATTCATTATAATCCCACCTTCGACCTACCTGACCCTAAGTACGGACCTTTACCAATACCAAAATGAAGAATGCATTGACCTCAAACCAAACTATCTCTGCAAACACAATCGACTTCTACCTATACACGAAAATCCTCATTGCATCAAGTCACTGCTGCCATTAGTAACAATTTGGATCAATGTCAACAAGTACTAGTACATATCCAAAAATCCATGACGGAAGAAATCGATTCCGCCCACTACATTGGAATCTTTCCGGAAGAACAAAGAATTCAAACAGACTGCGTAGAAAGCGAAGTAACTTCAATAACAGGAACCCGCCTTTTCACAGTCCCGCCAAAATGTTCAACAAAAATGCCGAAATATGTGTACAAAAATGAAAAGGACATATTTCACGGTCATCCAGTCACCCTCAACGAAATAAAATCAGTCCAAATTCCAGTGTCAAAGACCGAGAAGATCAAATTAGAGAAAATCCCTTTGGACAAACTACACGAACTTCAACTTCAGAGTTCAACAGAAGATTTTCTAGAATTTACCAAAATTCACCAAAGTACATCCATGAATTGGCTTCCATGGATCCTAATAACCGCAATATTGATTTGCGGCATATATTTCGCAATCAAGAACAACAAAATGAAAATTTCAAGAATCCTGAGAAAACCTCCCGCTACTGAGACGATAGACGAAACGAGTGATTCCACCCTCAAGTTCCTTCTAGGGATGAAGGAGTTATGTGTGCCATTCGTGGGAACATGCTGACCATTGCATCGCCGACATAAGCAGCTTCCTGAGAATTGTGTATGTTTGGAATAGGGATGTACCGGATCGGGTATTTGGCCGATCCGGCCGGAACGGGAATTCCGGCTGCTAGCCGGACCGGACCGCCGGAATTCCGGCCGGATCGACAGTTTTCTGCAATTTAATGATAATTTGAAAGGGCGCATCCTTTTTTTACCGGCGAACTTACAGATGAGCAGTCTATCTCTTTCTAGTACGTAGGAAATCAAGATGACTTACTCATAATGGAGAATAGCTCGATGTAAAAAATGAAAGCGCCTAAAGTTTGGTTATGTTTGAGTTTGGCTGCTTCCTTCAAATAAATTGGGGAATCCCCGAGTCTATCTGACATCTGACTCAAAAGCTTGTGCACGTAAAACGATTTTCAGTCCAGTAGTGTAGTTGCAGTTGTTTTGTGTTCCTGTGAATTCAAGTTAAAAATGTCAAAAGTATGGTGGTTTTTTGAAATCCATACCTAAATTTAATGTTTATGTTTAAAAAAAATATTGTTATGCTTTACAACTTTAATTTTAATAAAGTTCTAACAGCCGTATGCAACATCCTCTTTTACCTTAAAAGGGCTTTTTTAAACTGGTCACTTTTAAAAATTTGTATTCTAAACAGTGCAAATTTTTTAAAGTGACCAGTTTTAGAAAGCACTTTTAAGTTAAAAGAGGATATTGCATATGGCTGTAAGTATTCTTCTTGCTTTCCCCTTATAAATTTATTATTACACCTATTTTAAAATTTTCGAAAATTCCGGCCGGATTGCGGGGCTATAGGCCGGATCGGCCGGATTAAGTGGTACCGCCGGAATTCCGGTACATCCCTAGTTTGGAACCAGGATGCCCCATGCGAATAAACTTTTAGTTTTTAGATTAGACATAAACTTTGAGCTGATCACACGTATTTTTGCTTCTATATTTTAAACTTGTAATTTTTAATTAAAGTTAATTTTTTTTTAAAAAACGGTTTCTTTATTACCGGAAATATAAAGCAAGCAGAAACTTTGTGCAAACTTTAAAATACTCTTTTTACACGTAAATGAAAAGATTAAACTGATTCCCAGCTTTCCGAGAAATATTTCTCCTACGAACCCTATGTTGCCTGGCCTAATCCTAGAAAAGGATTTCATATCGGTAATGGAAATGAGAAAGGCCTCTTTCCAACATATTGTTTCTTATGATAAAAACAATTTTTTTTTTTCCAACTGTTGGGGTAGGTATCAACCTATTAATTCTTATATCATTGAAAGCAGCACAAACAGAGCTCTCCAATGAGTTAATAATATATAGGGTGTCCTACTTCAAAAAAAAAAGACTTTGGTCAATAATTCTGACATAAACACAATTTCCGTATACTTTTTGCAACGTCCTTTGAGCCTCAGAGTGGAGGGATTCGTTTTTTTTGTATCTCGCTCAGAAATTTTACGTTTCTTGTTAAAAGTGTTCAAATTGGACCACTTCGTAGTCTGTACATCAGAACACAGATTCTATAGTGGATTTTATTCTATAAATTTTTTAGGAGTTTTAAATTATTTTGAGGATTTCATAGAATTTTAAAATATTTTTAGAGATGCTAGAAGACTTAATAGGATTTCTAAAAATTAAAAGAGGTTTGATAAGAAACTCCAATAGATTTTTAGCTATTGCCAGAGTTTTTTTAACATATTGATATTATAATATATGTATTGAGGTAGATACATATTTCACATTTTTTAACTTCAATAAAATAGTTTTGTCCAGAATTTTCAACGCTCTATTGAACTGGATTTTTTTCCAGTTGGCAACCCAGAGTTTTTAGAACTTTTTTATGATTTCCCTAATGCATTTATTTCTCTTTAAGGCCACGTTGACCCAGGTGAAACCGATCTAGTAACAGCTTACCGTGAAACCATTGAAGAATCGGGTCTACAAAAATCAGACATAAAAGTTTACGAAGACACAAAAATGACACTTAATTATCAAGTAAAAGGTAAACCAAAAATTGTACACTATTGGCTAGCGGAATTAATTAACCCCTCGGCCAAAGTAAAATTGTCACATGAGCATCAGGATTTCAAATGGTTACCATTGAAGGAAGCTTGCGAGATTGTTGGGTATAAAGATATGCAAGATGTTTTAGTGAATTTTGAGAATTATTTAAAGAAGAATTAAAACGAGGAATTAATAAATATAAACACTAAACTAATTATTTTAGAATATAGAAATTTATATAATTTGGTGGTTGCATTATAACTCTTATCATAAACATTTTATTATTAATAAAAACTTTCAAGGTTCAGTAAATGTATATTTTTTTGCCTTGGTACATAGTCTATATAACTATACTAGTCGGATCTGGAAAACAAGAAAATATTTCAAGAAAAGGTTCAATTATGTTGAAATAACTTACCATTCTCATTTCTCACTTTTTCGATGTTATTGTCTTTGGATGTATTATTCAAGTCTTTAGGTACAGAAGGAAATTTGGTTAGTTTACTTGTGCCAGCAGAACTCTGTAAAAATATCCAAAATGTATGTAAAAATAATAAAGGGTTGTATAGCTTAGGTTTATAGTGACTAGGCACAATAAGGTAATATCCACATGCGAAAAATGTACTAAAAAAGTACATATAGACACTGGCGTACCCAAGACCCCTAAATTTTATGAATATTTCTTCAAAATTAAGATAAACAGTCCCAAAAATAACGTAAAGAAACCTGAAAAACCTGAAAAAGGGGCGTGGCACCCGAAAATTTCGCGCCTGCGGCGCTTGCCCTCCCCCCCAAGACAAAATCCTGGCTACGCCACTGCATATAGATGCATAGTGGATATTCTTTCAATATGCTTATAGAACATTCCTAAAATAATGTTGTTAGAACTACCTACTAAGAAAGCTTTTCTGAACCTACAATGTTTGTTTTGCTTTTCCTACCTGGGATCCTCTGCGTACCTGGGGGGGTTTATTTGAAATCCGTGCAAATCTGTCACATGCGACGCAGTCGGTCGAAATAAGTGCGTCGACTAATTCTGAAAATTCACGATCGGCTTATTTGAAAGCTTGTGCATTTTGTAAATCATGAATTTTCAAATTTGCACTACTCAACTTGGCAACGTGTCCTGTAAAAGATTCTAACCAATGACATTGTTAGAAAATTTCATATAACCAAACGGAACGATGCATTGAAATGTCAAATTTGAAATTGTTTAACGTAAACAACTTTTTTGATTATTTCCGTGCATACAGTTTCGTGTTTAGTTGTTTTTTTGCTTGATATTATCTTAGTCTATTCTTTCTATAAGTGTAGGCAATACCGCAAAAAGGATGGAAAGTGCGGGGGCAAGTGCCAATAAGAGAAGGTCTGGATTTGTTACCAAAAAACAAAAAGAACTCTTGGTCGAATTTTTGCACAAATATCCGACCCTTTTGTTGGGAAAATTTTCGAACTGCTTTTCATGGAAGGAATCTCGACGAAACATTCTTTTGAAAGTCGAAAGTTTTTTATAAACTCCCCGTCATTACCTAAGCATTGTTAATGCATGCATCTATTCTTGGATTTCTGAAGCCTTTGCGGTTATGGTTATACAATTCGGCCCTTTCTAGAGCATTTAAATTAACAATATTTTTGAATTCCATGAGGCCAAGAATATTCTTGGTCGACTAAATTTAAATTTTTAATCAACTTTCGCGTGCAATTTGGAAATGCACGAGCTCTAGAGGTGACGCATGTCAAATGCAATCTTGCGTCAACGAATTTAGCGAAATGCGTCGCCGAAAGTTTCAAATAAGCCACATGTGCATTTTTTTGTATTTCACCGGTAAAAATTGCGACTTAGTCAGACGTATTTGAATTGCGCGTTTCAAATAAACCCCCGCTGGGATGTAAGTATGAAAAAAGTAAACTGTGTATCCAGTAATGTACTAAGTGAGTTATTCTTCTGAAGTCGATATCCATAGTATATTTGTCATTTGTACACTGTTACAAAAAAACCAGGATTTGTATACTTTAAGATAAAGATAACCTAGGGTCGTGAGTTCAAAGAAAAATTAAATAAGATAACGTGTAGTCCCTTTATGTGCAAATGAAACCACTCAAAAATCCAACAGTAAAGGAGCTATGACAGTTCGAGCGCAAAATCAGTCATTTTCCCATGTAAATCTCCATAAGAAAATCTAAGGTCCGTTCTGGCAATTTTTGTACCGTTCAAGGTCATCCGTCCAGCCCGCCAGCAGTCGTTGGCGCTAAGCCCCGCCCCCTTTCCAGTGCCCATGTCTTTTATTGGTCGCGTCAGCCGCCGCTGCGTTCAGGGTCATTGACCGTACCTGACTCCAAGCGGCTCATCGAACACACATAGAACCTCATGACTTCGTACCTCATGCAAGGTGCATTGTACTGATGATGACGTAACTAATAATAAAAACGTCGTTTCGTCATCGGGTCTGATGACGACGTAATTTATAATAAAAACGTCGTTTCGCTATCGCGTCGTCAACGTTTATTGCAACCGCAGCGAAACCATAACTTGTTACTTTCCTGTGACCTGCGATAAACAAGCTCTGACTAGTAGTAGCCAATCACCAGCTTCGTATCCATCTGCACAGACCAGCGAACTTTTCCTAGAAATATGGGCCATCGTTTCAATTTTATTGTTGCTTAGTACGTTGGCATCCTGCGATAAGCAAGTCCTAACAAGTCTCTAATCAATCAGAAGGCTGAGGTCTCTCGTCTCAATATAAGAAACCAGCGACAATCAGCCGATTTTTTTAAAAATATTATTTAAATCATCAACGTTTTAGCTAGTATTTAAATCAAAATCGCCGCTAGTTCGAGTGACTTTTATTGTCAACATGACTTAGACCCATGACTCATTTTTACAAATATTTCTCTACAAAAATAATTCCGTCTTGAGTTTTCCTCATAAGGATTTTCCTGGTATTTTTGCTTCAAATATTCATTACCTATCATCAATATATTGCTAAATTATATTAACACGTTCACCAACAAAAACAAAAATAAGGCAAACGCGTCGCATAGGAAATTACACTGCTTGAGCCGTCCAGCCGCAATACTGATAAACTATTTTCATTCAGAGAAAACAATTAAACCTGCGACAATGATAAGAGCAGGCGTTACGTCATAGGCATATATGTGAATATTTTCATCATTGCAGTACTACTTAGATAAAAATGTTGTGTTAGTAGATAATCAAAGGGGGTATGACTACAAAATTCCGAACATAACCTCAATCTTTCATTCTTGACACGTGGTGGATGCGCCGTCGTTGACACGAAGGTGGATGCGTCGTCGGCGCCATCTTGTCAAACGTCATGGCGCCATCTGTCGTGAGTGCGGTGAATTATTGCAATTGATCGACAGGAAGGGTTCAAAATTACAGGTTCCTGTAATATGGAGTTTGCGTGGAAGAGATTGTTTCATGTCGTTTAGATGTCGCTACGTATATTTAATTATAGTTCAGGTTCTGATGACGCCATAGTGACCTGGGTCACGTGTGTTACGTCAGTGTATGTCGGTGGCGCCATCTAGCGTACATAGTGCAAAGTTCAATTTACGGTTCAGGTTCTGTGATGACCTTATAGCGGCCTGAGACACGTGGGTTACGTCATTCTGTTATCGGTGGCGCCATCTAGCCTACATAAAGTAAAGTTTATTGTGTTCTAATACAGGATATCGTAGTGGTGAATAAGATAAATTCATGAATCAGCACGCCGCCGACGTTTAATGTGGGAAAGTAATAAACAAAACAGGGGTATCATATTTCACGGTTATTTTTACTTATAACTGATAAGCGTTTCCGTTTTAGCAAAAACAACAACAAGCTCAGACTTGCATTTATATTTTATCAATGATAGGTAAACATGCATGGATATTTTCACTGCCGACTAACTACATATATGTATAATAATATATTTAAAAACATTCCAGCCCATAGCCCCCTTATAATTTCAGTCAAGTTGGACATTATTTATTACCCAAAGAACAACCCTTAGGGCCAAAAAAGGGTGATATGAAAAATTTAAAAAGTACCTAACCATACCATAACTCTTTTCAGGCGGGGACAGCGAAGCTGCTTTTTCCGGGGTGTGCGCAACCCTAACTATCAAGGGAATGCCTGAAAACCGGATTTTGACCATCTGCGCACATGTCGTTAGGGCCTTATTCCATTTTTTCAATTATTTCGCTTTCTAGCGATCCGATTCACTTCGTTCTTTTACGAAAAATTTTTAAATAATTAGTCGCGTATTTGAAGACCAGTTCCACCCGTTTAGCATATGCCAAACGGGCCGTATTCTATTTTTTCAATTAATTAACGTTCTATCGACTCGATTCAATTTATTCTTTTTCTAGAAATTTTTAAATAATTATTGGCCTATTTCAAGACTAGTTCTACTCGTTTAGCATGTGCCAAAAGGGCCGTATTCTATTTTTTCAATTAATTAACGTTCTATTGATTCGATTTTATCAGTTTTTTCACCAAACATTTCTAGATAATTGGTGTGCGTTTTTGAAAACTAGTTTCAACCATTTAGCATACGCCAAAAGGGCCGTAATCAGTTTTTTTTTCGAATAATCCACTTTCTATTGGCCCAATTTAATTTACTATTTCACCAAAAACTTCTAAATAATTAGTGGCATCAATGAAGACTAGGTCCAGCCATTTAGCATACGCCAACAGGAACAGGGCCGTAACCAGTTTTTTCAATCAATCCACTTTCCAGTGATCCAATTCAATTCGTTCGTTTACCATGAATATTCACAATAATGTATTGGAATGTAAATATTTTAGTATAGAAAGTTCTAAACACAAAAACAGCAGAGAGGATAACATTTAACAATAGGCTACATCTGAATAAAAAGTATGCAAATTTTTGTAAAAAAAAAAAAATCCAAGAGTTGAGGGACCTTTCTATACAGTTCCAGATGACTTTGAGCGAGCGTGTAATCTCAACCATATGAGTTTAGATCTGGATCGGCAAGCCACACAGCTTATTAACTGGAATATTTGTACCTGTATAAAAGAAAAAAGCGCTCACAATAGCTGAAAACCCATATTTGCGTCATGTTTACATTGATTCTTATGAAAATCCTTCTCAAAAATCTGATAGTCGGGGTGGAGGGGGGGGGGTCGCTATTATAAAACCGTCCAGTCCTACGTCCGTCCTGATACTTATAGTTCTGCCATAGCTAATCTTCATTCATTACTTTGCAGTTCCTCAAAGAGTGAAGACGTGCAAAACTAGTTCTCCTATACTGATTTACACGTTTGTGAGAAACAATAGCCATTTCCAGTTAGTTCTATAAAAAATATACCCCAAATAAAACGAAGCGTTCAGATTAAAAGATGTCCCTCTTCGCAGATTTAGTGAAACATATAGCCTCTCTCCTGGGACTACTCACACCAAAATATAGTGATAACATCGCTAAAGAAGGCCTGGAGGAATGTACTCGAGGACTAAGAAAACTCAACAAAGCGATCAAACAAGCAGCAACCATGGGTGAAAAGCAGCACTTAGAGTCATGTCTGCGGAATATAAGAAGTATGAGGAATCAGTTCAAGAATATGCAAAAGAAAGGCGCAGGACTTTCACCATCACGCCCTGAAGGAGCAAGAGAGCGGGTGCATTGGGATGATTCAAATTCAGCTTTCAGCAGCAGGATAAGAACAGGGATCATTACAAATTTGAAGCATAAAGATCCCAAGCTGTTTTTGGTAGATTGTGCAGCTTCATTTAAACGCAGGATCCAGAATGCTCTTAAAAAGGATGAAGACATCAAAGTTAATGCTGCTTTCTGTGGGGAATTTACAATTGTCAAGGGCGATAAAGTACTTAAAGAATTCAAGTACTTCACAACGTCTAACA